AGTGCAATTTCTCCTAAGGCGAACAAATTGACCTTTAGGTATATTGCATAGCCAGGGAGGGTAGTGACAACTATCACACGGAATATACCCATTCCTATCTACATTCTTAAAGAATGTCTTGGTGACAATGTTCCCTTTGTTTATACCAACATTAAGATCCAGGAAATTAATCTGTGAATTGTTGTATTCCCATGTGAATTTAATATTTTTATTGTTGCAATTCAATTTGTTAAGAAAAGACACTAACGAATTGCCATCTCCTTTCCACATAATGAACACGTCATCTATGTAGCGCTTGAAGACAAACAACTCTGTGGGAACATCTGAATACACTGCATTTTCCTCCCAGTGGGCCATAAACAAATTAGCCACACTGGGTGCAAAACGTGCTCCCATCGCTACACCCTTGATCTGTTTATAGAATTTTTTGTCATGCCAAAAGTAGTTGTGTGACAGACAGACAAAAATCTAGACACTGAACAAGAAACTTTCTTTGATGCCAGGTGATATTACTGTACTCTCTTAGTCCCCATTCTACTGATTCAATGGCCTCCTCGTGTCCTATGATAGTATATAGGGATGCAACATCCGCACTTGCTAGATATATATATCTGTATTTTCTTCTTCTTGTACCTCATGCAAGATTTGAATAAGATGTTTTGTATCCCGTAAGTATGATTTTGTTCTTTTAACCAAAGGTTGAAGATATATATCAATATATTGACCCAATCTTGCAAGGATAGACCCGATCCCATTCACGATGGGCCTCCCTGGTGGATTGATTGGGTCTTTATGCAGCTTCGGGACAGTGTAAATCACCGGGATCCGGCATACTTCCGGAACCAGATACTTGGATTCTTTTTTATTTAAAATTTTTTTATCTGTGCCTTTTTTAATCAATTTTCCCAATTCCTTTTTGTACCCTATGGTAGGATCCTTTGGGAGTGTTTGGTATGTGGCGGAATCTGCCAGTTGGCCTCCTAGTTCTTCCAAATAGTAATCCTTAGATAACACCACAATACCACCTCCCTTGTCAGCTGGTCTGATCACTATATTCTCTCTTTCTATAAGCCTTTTTGTGCCAATTTGTATTCCAATATTAGGATGAATTTTTGGTAAAACAAGTTTGTCCAAATCTTGGACCACCATTTTTTTTAAAAGTATCCACCTGGCTATTGTGTGAATTTTGTGGGTTGAACAATGACTTATTCCTTAAATTGGAATGTATTATATCACTATTATCCACACTGGGACTATATTTAGATCCTGATGCTCCCATGAAGTATTTCTTAAGGTTTAATTTTCTAATAAATCTCTGCGTATCCACATAAACATCAAATTTACATGCTGGCTTAGGGGGGGCATATTTCAGACCCTTATCCAACACCATGATTTCTTCCTTGGTGAGGACGGATCCACTTAAATTAAATACCCCTTAACCTAGCTCTCTCTTTTCCTTTTGCTTTTTCCACCCGGCTCTGCATCCCCTACTCTTGGGGGGCTTCGCCTTCTTTCCATGGCCAGACTCCTTTCTTTCCATCCCCTTTCTAAAAAATCCCGCTGGGGCTGGTCATAACTCAATGGTTCGTATCTATTATATGTGGGTAACGGACTCCTTCCTCCTTGATGGTAATAATAGTTCCAGTTGTCCTGCTGGTAATGCTTAGGACTCCTCTCATAGTACTGCCTATTATCATATCCATATTGGGGTTCTGGTCTTGCATAGTTCTCCATTCTAGGTATATAATTAGGCCTATAGGGTTGATGGTATGGTTTCCATTTTTTCCCTTTTCCTCCCCCTTTAGGTTTATTTTGATTATTCTGGGGATAGCCTCCATTTTGTGGTCTCCACCCATTTCTTGGTGTTTGATAGGCAGAATTAGTATTATATCTATACTGATTCTTATTATTATGTTCACCTTGGTATACGACTGGTTTTCTTGGTGTCTCAATTTTAGTTGCCCTTGACTGGGGTAGTATTAACCGATACAGCTTCTATATCATTAGCTAAAGACTGCCACTTAAAGACCTGATCCTTTTTAAAATCGTTGTAATCCCGCTGGTATTTCTTTCCTATACTTAATTTCTTGATCCAATTTATCCAGATCTTTATTTAACCGTTTTGTTAATTCTATCATTTCCTGGGAATCTTTTAATGGTTCGATCTTATCTTTAATTTCACCAATCTGCGTGTCCAAGATCCTCATCTTTTTTTGTTTTCTTTTTAATAGGAGCCTCAGTAGTTCTAGCCCCTTCTCATGGAAGCAGCTAAACCATTCTTCCGTAGATTCCTCATCTACCAGCCCATCTGCAATTGGCACATCCCATCGCAAACGTCTAGGAATTAATCTATCCTTAAGATATTTTTCATAAGTGACCATGTCCCACCATATGGCCACCTTCTTTTCCATTAAGTGTCCTAGTTTTCTCTAGTGGGACTCTAGGTCACCATTAGTATTAGCTGTATGTTTGAAAATATCTTCTAGATTTAATGACCTATTCTCAATAAAATTGAAAACTTCCATCTTAGCTGCTGGAGTAAAAAAGGTAAGCTAATTGGCAAAAATATGTAATTAAACCTCCTGCGCTTCAGATGAATAAAAAACTAACTAAGCAGCCAGCACCCTCTTTAACCAAAAGTGTATGAATAAATTATAAAAATTGGTGCAGCGCTAAACAAATGCCATTAGATAAATGGACATAACCATAAATTAATACATAAATATATATATATATATAACACAAATAAACATGCATGCAAGGATGACCCCCTGTCAATCCCCTGTGGGGAGAAACGTGACCATATATCTATGATGGTTAATATATAATCATGCAAAGGGACAACACACTGCAGCAAGTGATAAAGTGAATAAATGCAGTCCACTTCAAACAAAAACGGTGATTCTTCAGAATGTGAGAGTGCCAATAGTGCCACAATCCTACAATGGTCTGAGTGCCTCCTCACCTCCCCGCATCGACCACAGGGGCCAATACGCCTTGATAATATATAGGGTATAACCCTCAGATGTCAGCCGGTCACAGATCCACGGCAGATTCCACCTCATCCAATGCGATTACCGGCAATTCAAAATCAAATAGTAGGGGATATAATACAAATAGACCCCAAAAAGAGTACATGTCACTGCCTATTGCTATCACAACGGGGGATATTTACATTCCCTGTGATATAAAAAAAAAAGTGATTGAAAAACAAATATGAAAAGGGACAGTGTAAAAATAATTAAAAAAAAAAAAAAGCTAAATAAATAATTAAAAAAATAAAATAAAATCAATCCCCCCACCCCAATCCCCATGTTCACGCACAAAGGCAAACTCAAGTGGCGGTCCTGTGGCAGTATGTAAACAGAGATTTCACCATGCATGTAAGGTATCACCGTGAACGTCAGATAGAGGCCAGTAACTCTAGCACTAGACCTCCTATGTAAATCTAAAGTGGCTTTTATGCCTTTTTATGTACGTAATTTTCCGCCATTGCAATTATAAAGCATGTCATATTTGGTATCCATTTACTCAGTGTAACATCATCTTTTATATTTTATCAAACAATTGGGCTATAAATTGTGTTTTTTAAAAAATTCAAAAAAAATTTATTTCTTCCAAAAAAATTTGTGTTTGAAAAATCACTGAGCAAATACTGCGTGACATAAAAAATTTCAACACCCACCATTTTATTTTCTAGAGCCTGCTTTAAAAAAAAAAAAAAAAAATGATATATAAATATAATATATATATATATATATATATATATAATATATATATATATATATATATATATATATATATATATATATATAAAAAATTTGGGGTTCAAAGAAATTTTCTAGCCTGTTTTTTCAAGTAAACAAAAAAGTGTCAGAAAAGGCTAAGTTTTCAAGTGGTTAGAAAAGTGGGTGGTATCTGGCATAAGCTTTTAATGCTGTTCCTGAAATACCAGGATGGTAGAAGCACCCTCCCCCATATAACCCCTTTTTGGAAAGTAGACACTCCAAGGTGTTTGCTAAGAGGCATGGTGAGTATTTTGCAGATCTCATATGTTGCCACAAGTTTTTGAAAAAAAAAAGAAATATTTTTTCTTTTCTTTTATTCTTTTTCAAAACCCTGTGACAAAAATATCTGCAAAATACGCATTATGCCTCTTATCAAATTCCTTGGGGTGTCTACTTCCTAAAAAAGGGTAAGTTGGAGGGTGTTTGTACTACCGTGACATTTTAGAGTCTCCGAAACTGTGATGGATATTGTGGAAGTGATATGAGGAAATACGCCCTCTTAAAACCTGGGAGGTGGTCATTGGATTTTGGGGGCGTGTACGTGGCTAAGCTGCCAAAAAGTTTCTCACTGTAGTATTATTATAGTCGGGAAAAGTAGCAGAATCTGTTTTGGGGTGTTAATACACATATACCCATGGCATGCGTGAGTAATATATCATTTAAGTGACAACTTTGTGTAAAAAATTCCACCAAAATTCCAGAGTGAATTCCAGACATTTATTAAGGATACTTATGATGTACTAAATATTGCTGTAGTGCTTTATTTTGCATATAATCTATGGTATTGGTAATTGACACAAATAATTTGTTGTACATAGCACTGCTCATATTTTAAGTTTGTATATTTGCATCTGTGTTTATATAGGGTAACACAGTTGTGAGTGGCAGCCGGGGAGGAGTTCTTACAATTCATCTATATCTTTACGCTTCCAGGCACGGTTATTAATATTACTTTTTTTTTTTTGTTTTTTTTAAAGAAACCAAGCCTAGCATTCATTATATATTTACTGCAACACTACTAATGTGTCTCCAAACTGCCCTATCTCGAAAATGCAGAGTATTAAATAAGACTTAGAAAAACGGACACTACACAATAATCAGTTTATAAATAAACACGCTTATTAAATATTCTCATAGAAATGGTACATGGTTGTCCCTCAAAATACAGAAAATCTGAACTCAGAAAAACAGCTGAAAGAAGAATTTACTCACATCTTTCACATAATTAGAGGTAATCGGTTCCCCATTGCGACCAATAGCTCCTTCTGCAATAATAACGATATTTAATCTTGAACCTCGACTTCGAGTCTGCATGAAGTTAAAAAGATATTATTAATAAAGTGGCATGAAGAAATATACAGTACTTGTTTTAAAGGCAGGAAAATACTTTTTTTTGTGGTACTTACTCCTACTTCCTCCAACTGAGGGGTGGGAAATGGTCTGGAGCAGTGGTCTCCAAACTGTGGGCCAGATGTGGCCCTTTGCTTGCTTTTATCTGGCCCTTGGGGCACTATTCCTCCCAATGACACCAACAATGGTGTAATGCCTATGAAATGTGTTGGCCTTGGACCCTTTGTTTCTTGGGTAATTTTTACAATAAAGCATTGTTGCGCAAATGCCAGGGGCATGAGAAGTGACTGATGTAATTTCTTTAGCTAAAGGAACAGAGTCACAAAATATTCTGCTGAAAGCAAGATAAAACCCTGTTTATGACATCTAGTAACCTCACATTAGGAGATAAAAACCTGTTTAAAGGACATCTAAGTTAGAAATACTTCAGTATGGGGGAGATGAAAAGAGGTTTTGGGGAAGATAAGAAGCAAAAGTGTGACTTTTCAGATAACGAATATGGTGACTGAACATGACAGTTATTCTCACGGAACCCTTCTGCCAGCCCCTCCTGTGGTGGGTGGCACCACCCACTATTGGACAGCTTCCAGAAAAAAGGGGTTTATAAGGCGGAGGTCCAGGCAAGACCAGTAGAAGCTCCCCTAGTGGCCAGAGGACGCTCTAATGCTGGGATTTTTACCAAGGCTATATGGGCTCAATGACTGGTCGCGTGTCTATTTCATGCTGTAATGCTCACATTATTATTGGTGTGTGTTATTATGCAGATTGTGATGACTAGAAGATATATCCTCCTGTGTGTTGTGTGATAATAAAAGTGAAGGTTTCGACAGTGCAAGAATATTGCAGTTAGATTCTGCTATTTCTTGGAGTGCCGGGTGAATGCTATGATGTGCCAGGGCAGGTATTCATTGGGTAGTTGGTCTCTCACAATGCATAGAACATGTATTGGTTTAAATGCTGATTAAATGTACCTGCACAACTGCATGTTCATTGCGTGCATGTATATGACTTGTTTTTAGTAATTGCACCCAGCATCACTATTACAAATGGGAAAATATTCCTCCAATTGATACCAACAATGCGGTGCTATTCCTCCCACTGATACCAGAAATAGGGAACTGTTCCTCCAAATAAAATCAATTGTGGGGTAATACTAACCTTCATTGATAGCAGGACAATTTCTACTCACAGCAGCCACAGTCAAGCCCCCCCTAAAGCCTGAAGGATGGTAAACTGGCTTTTTGTTTAGAAAATTTGGAGACTCCTGGCCTAGAGGCTGCAGGCTGAAAAACTGCCACTTGTCCACACCTGGCAAGTAAATGGTGGATAAGGATGGAAAATAATATTCTACCCAGGACAGGATTTGTTTCTTTCTGAATCTGAATTGGATAACCCTTCAACAGTATAGCCCAATGCCCAAGGACAGCCTGATTTCCCAAAGCTCCAAGATGTTGATCAAAAGGAGATTTCTCCGACATCCAAGTCATTGAAAAGAGTGCCCAGGATTCATAACCAGCTCAACCGACTGACATTTGTCATGGTGATCTTCCAAATGATCGGAAGGAATGACTCCAATTCCACAGCCCAATTCTGGAGCTTCCAAGCCAGGAACAACCTGGTCCTTAGTGCCAAATAACGCAGTCTGTCCAGAGACTGGATGAACATATCCCATGACCACAGAATATTGTATTTCAGGGATTTAGAGTGAAACTGGACAAATTGGACAGCTTGGAAGGAAGTTACCTGATCCAGACCTATTATGCAAAAGCAGGGAGAATGAGTGTGGAAGCAGAGTTTGTAGTTTCTCCTGGAAAGGGGGAGGGGGACTCTGAGCTGAGCTTTGTCTAAAACTAGACCCAGATACTCCAAGTGATAAGCTGGCTCTGGCACCGATTCTCATTCTCAAACTGCAAGCATCCCACAGGAAACATAGGAAATAGTGGAATATGAACTTACGCGTTCTCTATGCCCACAGAAGCCAGTGTTTCTCCTTGGTGAAGGGATATGACAACAGAACTGGTGAATTTCATATGAAATTTTTGAGCTCGAACAAAAATATTCATAGGTTTGGAGATCCAAGATGGGGCTGAAAAATCCTTGGAATAGGAAACGTGAACAAATTGGAATAAGGCCCTTGCAACTATTTTTCCACAGAAACTGGGGCAAAGACATTTTGATCAAGAAGACCAGAGAGGGCAACCTGAAGATCTGTTGAATCTGTTCAGTAACACAGAAAGGTCTGAAGTGAGAATCTGAGGAGGGGGCTGGGAGCAAAAAAAAACTTTAGCTTGTAATCTCAAACCACTTCCTGCAATTAAGTATCTGAGATGCAAGCTGTCCAAATATCCAAGAGGACTAACCAAAGTCCCCCCACTTTGTCTGAGGGTTTGTCAAACTTGGAGCCAGGCTTTTGTCTGGAATTAGAAGTAGAATACAGAAAAATACTTTTCTAAACTGCCAGCAAGGTATAATCCTTCCTAGATTATGCTTCTTTGGCTGAGGGAGAAGGGTTCTCTTGCCACCAATAGCATTCTTGAAAATGGTATCTAGAGTAGATCCAAAGAGATGTTGTCCATCTAAGGCCATGTGGAGCTAGTGATTCTTAGATGCAGGTTCAACGTCCAACATTTTAACCAAAAAGTGTCCTGTGCATGTAAACGGACAAGAGATACAGACAGGAGAGAAGACGGGAAACCTCCAGCAGCCCATTACAACTGTAGCTTACAGTTAATCCATTTGCTCAAAACATTCTCTAGTCAAGTGTTCATCTGCAGTAGTGACCAGATCCCTTTTAAATAGACTCTGGCCAGTCAAGAGTGTGGCAAAGCAAAGTCCCCCAGCTAAAGCTGGGTGAAAAGCAGTTTTCCTATCGGGAAAACAGGATTCCAAAGAGGGTCCCCATTGGCTTACAAGTTGGGTTCGTAAAGACAGGCTCATCTTCCAGTGGAATGGTGGTAGATTTGTTAAGGCAGGACACTGCCAGATCCACAGCGGGGGGAAACCACTTTTCAACAAAGCCCTTTTCAAAACATTTCAAAGCGAATAAGAGTTTGGAGAAGAAAATACCTTGTCAAGGGGTTTCCACAATATATAGAAAATTACTTGGAACAGCGGGTGCATCAGGAAAGTCTTGGTGGTCTTAGGGTCTCTAAAATACTGGAAACAGCACCGGTAGAAGCAACAGGCTGATTCTCAGAGTGGTGTGCAACACATCAACAAGAGCTGAAACAACCTTTTCACTTTTGGAGTAATGGCAGAAGACAGACTTGTCTGAGGCAAGGTTGTCCGAAAAGGACTGGAGTGACTCAAAATCAGACAGAGCCTAAGTGGCCTAGGGTTCATAGGTTACAGAAAGATCACATACAGAATGTGCAGGGGAAGGTGCTTGGGGCCTCTGTGTTTAGAGTCAGCGAATAACTGGGTGATTCGGGCCATAAAGTCATAAATGACTAGTAGAAAACCTCTTGCGAAAGGGTAGAGCCATCCACACCTGATGGAGGGAACATAATTCCAGGCTGCAAATGTCAGCTGCATCAGTGGGTTTGCTGCAAGCAGCACAAGAGTGAATATAAAAATGTGAGATGCGGCACCCAGAAAAGCAGGACTGTCCACCCTCTGTCTAGAATTAGACATGCAGTGACTGCGAGAAGGTAAAGATCAGGGTACGAGGCAAGGTCTCAGGTACTCCAGAAACCCAACCACTGGTAGCAATTCAGGGTTGGATGGTCGAAATGATAGCAGTCACTGTTGACAGTCAACAGTAAACCAAATATCGGAGTTTCATGTGGCTCTTTGCAATGCAGGAGCAACAGCGATCTGAACAAATTATATAGTGCTCAGCCTGTTGGGCCCAATCAGAGTGAGTTATCAGTGACAAGGCAAACTTTGAGGCAGCTACAACAAATCTAGATCTGGAAAGTGTTCTGCTGTATTTGTTACCAGAAAAAAAATCTGGAAACACCTTATGCGGTACCCATTATCACTTGTCACTTCAAGGCTAGCCACACAATGTCCAAGCTACATGCAGTCATATAGGCCAGCTCTAGCAGCAACATCAAAAGGAGTCTTATTTTAGGTAAAATGAAGGAAAAAAAAAAACAAAAAACACTAGCAAAATATAGGTTGGTCTTTTCACAGTAGAGCTAAAGGATGCCAATCGTTCAAGGACCCTGAGGCATGCTGGTAATAAGAAGGTTATCCTTGTCCGGGACTACAGCTTTTTGTTTGCTAGTGCCCAATGCTCCTGTAGGCGGCAGTATAACTGGAAGGTTCAGTTAAGACATATCATTTAACTGGCAAGTAAATCGGTTGTCTTTTGGGTAATGCTTAAGACTGCTTATACACAGATATGGGCGCTCATTATGTTGGGTGTTCAAATCTAGGTTTGGTACGAATGTACTGTACGCCTTTCAATAAACCAACTGTTTCCATTATCATCATTATTATACTTGCCTCTCCAAGTCTAGAACACATGACATCCTCCCATCCTTCATCAGGAGGACACTCTGGAATTAAAAGCCAGTCGGCTCCTGACGCCAAGGCAGATACTAAGGCTAGGTACCTATAAATAAAATGGGTGTTTCATATTAAATCAGCCACGTTTGGTCAGAGTATTTTAAGTAATGTGTAAAAAAGGAGAACTGACAGGAAGCAGAATAAAGAAAGGAAACACACACGCACAGATCAAAGCTCATAAAATAAATGTCAACTAGAACAAACTGGAAATAGTGCGAGAAATCTAGATCATGCTATCTGTAACATTACTAGGCAACTGGAAAACTCAAAGATGAATTACAACCATAAAGAGATCTGCTGTTTTGTTTTACAGGAAATGCTCCCCAAAAACATATTTTAAAACTTTAAGTGGGAGTAAACTCCCAATGGACACTTGTACATATAGGTAACCTACAGTTAAGCATACCTACACCGTTCCTTCAGAGCTCTGTGCTGTGGCTGAGACTCCTGCGAGTGACATCATTGCGGCTCGGCCAATCAAGTGGCCAGAGCCCACAAACCCAGAAGAGCAGGTGAAGAAGGAAGCCCTGTCAGCGTTGACAGTGCGCCAATGAAGGGCTTCGTAACGAAGGTAAGTCTTTCATACTATGCTAGTATGTGATGCATACTAGCACATGATGACATTACCTTGCAGGAAGAAGATGTTTGTTTTTTCCAACTTTACTACCGCATTAGTTTAGATATAGTAAATGCCTACACACTGCTGTGTAGAAACATGAGTTACAATGAATTGCCATGTAAATAAGTGAGTGCTATAACCAACAAAAATTGTTCTACTCAACAAAACAAAGACTCAAATGGTTTCCAGTCCTCAGTGTGATATATTTCAGAGAGAAAGAGAGAGCGAAGGAAAGAGCATGCGAGTGAAGGAAAGAGAAAAAGAAGAAAAAAGGGGGGCAAAAAAAAAAAAAGGAAGGGGAGAAAAAAAAGCTAGCTTTCTTTTAGTGGTAGAAAATTACTGGGAATTTTATTTATTGCTATATAAAAAAAGAGAAAAACTGGATTTTTTGTTACTTACCATAAAATCCATTTCTCTGAGTTGACTGACAGACACAGCTTCTTCTTATCCTTGACCAGGTTGACTTGAGGGTCATAGAGCCACCTACAGAAGTAGTAAACTAGGCCGAAAAAGAACACAGCACTGCCTACGGGAGGTCCTAGCTGATATAAACACCCTTTTTTGCTATAAACAGGTCAATAAGTCCCAATTTAGCACAAGAAAAAATGAACCAACTAGAGGGGTGGGTGCTGTGTACGTCAATGAACTCCAAGAGAGAAATGTTATGGTAACAAAAAAAATACCTTTTTCTTTTACATTTACTGACGGACATAGCTTCCTATTCTTTAGACATCCCAAAGCAGTTCCTCAATGGGGGGTGGGAAACAGGAGCAAACAGGCATCCACCCAGAACCCCTTTGGATAACGAATCAGAGATGTCCAAAACACACTGAAGAAAAAAAAAATGCAAGAGCAGAGACCCAGCCCTTAATGGTACATAAGCAAGCTGTGATCAACAACCCATGAAAGGAGGGCAACAATCTGAACCACTGGGAAGGAAAGCAGATGCGTTTGGAATTGTTACATTTTGTGGTGCAAGGCTGTGGAATTGCAACAATTACACGTCAGAGTAAGATTTGCGCACCTCCTACATGGAAGGAATCACCGAACCCGACAACCCCCATCTCTCCCAGACCCTGTCTCCCAATAGGCAAGCTGTCAGCCAAGAATAGTAAAACAGGGAGGAAGGTTGGCCTCTGGGGCACAAAAAACTTCCATGCCACCAGGGCATGTCGTGACTAGTCATACCATGCCAGAGCACCAGTGTCAACAGGGCCAGTCTGGAGCCACAAAAAATAAATCCCTTCGGACTCTATCTTGCACAATAGATGAAAGCGAAGCTTGAGAGAAGGAAGGGAATGAATAAGATCAGAATGGCTTCACAGTGCCACCACAGCATCTGTCACATCAGCCAGGGGATCCCTCATTGTGTCCAGATGGGACACCAAAGATCCAATGTCCGGTGTTCCCCACCGCAGCCAGATCTGACGAAACACGTTCGGATGCAGAGACCTCACCTCTTGATCCAGCATCATACATCTGAGGTGGTCCGCCTACCAATTTTCTATGCCTGGAATGTACACGGTGGAGAGAGACAGTACGTGAAGTGTAATGCCCTCAGCGCTACTGCCAAACTTCTTGTATCACCCTAATGGGTGACACAGGTCACTATGGCGGAGTCCAACTGGACCTTGCCTGGGTGCCGTCAAAGAAGATTCGTCCACTGCTCCACACATAACCAGATCGCAGAAGCTCCAGACAATGACTGGTAGCCAAGACTCCCCCAGCATCCAATGGTCCTGGGCTGACCTCAAACCCAGGATCCCCGTTTCACCAGCCACACCAGCTAGCATCCATCATGACCACCATCCACTGAAGAGGGGGAAAGACTTCCAGGTCCAAAAATACAGAGAACGAAACCACCAGAAGAGAGGGGGCCTGGCCAACCAACCTACACAAACCTGGTCTTCCAAGGACGCAGGAGGCTTCTCCCACTTGAACAAGATTTCCTGCAGCAGAACCTTGGAGTGGAACTGCACATACGAACCGCCTCGAATGTTAACACCATGAGGCCTAGCACCTGCATACAAAAATACAGGAAAAAAACCGCTAGTGGATCAACAGCAACCAAACTGTAGTCCAGAGTTGTTGAAGCTCATCCATACTGTAAGGAGAAACAACTTGGACTGGGCCGAATTGAGAACAGGAATGGGATTTCTCGAGGTTCAGAGCCCATCTAAACTCCTGCAAGTGTGCATCTTGATCGCCACATAGTCCAGATAGCCTATCACAGCAAACCCCTAAAGTCCCGGCAACACCAAAACCGGAGCCAGCGCTTTGGAAAGCTCTGAGGATCGCAGGCCAGCCCAAAGGGAGAGTCACAATATGATAATCCACATCCCTGAAAGCAAAAGAGCAGGAAGTGCTGACACCTGGCACAGATAGGAACACTCAGGGAGCCAAGAAATTCACCTGAGGCAGGGGTGCCTCCACTGAACTGGTGGATTCCATCTCGAACTTCTGTACCCTCACAAAGCAATTCAGGGTCTGAGGTCCAGAATCAGACAAACCAAAAACAGGTTGAAAGAAAACTCACAAAACCTCTCCAAATCCAGAACCAGGGCAAATACTCCCCAGAGAAGCAGGTCTTGCTCTGTACAGAGATGAAAAATGGAAGGAAAGAACTTGACTAGCAGACAACTAAATTCTTTGTTGTAGCTTGCCAAAACCATTTGTAGACCCAATCGACAGAGAGCAGCTATTAAGTTTTTTATATTTATATATTTTAACACACACTTACACATAAACACCGGCATGTGAAAAAGGAAGTATGCCTAATGGCAGTTGTTGACCAACTTTAAAAAGATCTTGATTCAAGTGTCTACAGGTAAAAGGTGATCTACTTCAACAAATAACACATAAATAACATGGTGTATTGGTGTATTAATTTTCATGACCTAATACAATGAAAATGCAGAGTTGTCATATGTAAAAAGTAAGTACACCCCTAGATCATCACCACTTCAAATCCACTTAAATAAAATCGGGGGTTCCAGATTGGGTGTCAATGGTTAGGACCCCCTTAGGGAGTATGCAGTTGGGACCAATCTTTTAAACCTTAAGAGCCGATTCACACATTTGCAGTGCAGATTGAAGCTCAGTTTTCACAGCTAATTGATACAATAGTTGTTCACCGGTTCATACCAGGTTCAGGACAAGATTATCCTGCTCACACATATGTAGTTTAGAAACGGTTCACAAGAAGTCAATAGATTGTAATCTGCACCTGAACCACACTGTTAAGAAATTGGACAGGACTTTTTTTCAAATCGCACTGAATCCGCACTGCCAGTGCACTGGGCATATGTGAACAGGCACCATAGGAAGCAATGTTTTTTCAAGTGTCATACAGATTGTACGCGGTTCAAACTGCATCCAATCTGCATATATGTGAACTGGCACTAAAGTGATACTAAAAGGTTCACTTTGTTTCTTAAACAAATATACACATACTTACCTGAACAGAGCAGCCCCGATCGTTCCTCTTCATGAGTCCCACGCCAGCACTCCTGACCCCTCCTCCCTGCTGAGTGCCTCATTCTCACTCCCTAGCTTCTCATAGACATACAAAGTGAGGTGCACCCCTGCCCTCTCATCACTGGCTGTTATTGACAGTAGTGGGAGTCAATGTTGAGAGAGAGACACACACACACACACACAATAGAGCCACTGCTGTCATGCAAATCACTGGATTGTGATTGGCTCAGGAAAGTATTGGGGGGGGGGGGGGGGGGGGAGCTGCACACTGAAAGATTTTTTACCATAGAATGCATGAAGGTGATAAAAACCTTCAGCCTTTAGGCTGCATTCACACGTGGGCTTTTTTCATCGATCTTAAAATGCTCTGCTAAAATGACAAATCACGAAATTGCGTGTTCAGGTGCCATTCATTATAATGGCAACACAAAACCTGGTGCGATTCTGCCGCAACTGTCACATGATAATTTTTTTTTTTTTTTAATTTAAATTTTTATTTATTTTCCATATAAAATACATATTTCATCATATTTCTCATACAAAAACCATTTTCATATCATTAAATACATTTCTTACTATCTTTATTCCCATTTACCTTCCCCCTCTATCTAATTTTCCCTCCTCCCTAAAAAACCTCCCTCCCCCCATATAAACCCACCCACTCTGCATTGTTCTATTACCTCCTTTCCCTACTAGAATATAGGATATATAGATACTTCCATCTTTCTCACATTACTACTTCATATATTTCACCATAAATTCTTCCCATTTACTCCACCTCTTAGAGAACAACCCCATCCTGTCTTCCTGCATATAACACAATCTCTCCATCCTACATATCTGATTCGTTCTTTCCACCCAATCCTCTATCTTCGGCACCTCTGGTCTATGCCAAAACGTAGGTATCAGACCCTTCGCCGCATTCAGATAGCACCATATACCCGAGTCCT